GTGTGTGTGTGTGTCGTGTCGTGTGTGTGTGTGTGTGCGTGCGTGCGTGCGTGCGTGCGTGCGTGCGTGCGTGCGTGCGTGCGGGCGCGTGCGCGTGCGCGTGCGCGTGCGTGTGTGAGAGAGTGTGTGTATCTGTGTGACCTACCTAGCCACGCATCCTCCCCTCCTCCCCTCATCCTCCCCTCGTCATCCTCTCCCCCTCTCTTTACAGCTTTCTCTACAACACTCTCCTTCTGCTTACAGGTGTCAACGAAGCGCGCGCAGGGCTGGTGCCACAGCAAGAACGACATCCCGTACTTCGAGACGAGCGCTAAAGAATCGATCAACGTTGAGCAGGCGTTCCAGACGATCGCTCGCAACGCGCTCGCTCAGGAGACAGACGTCGAACTCTACAATGACTTCCCCGATCAGATCAAGCTCACCGGTGAGACGAAGCCGCCCAGCCAGGGATGCGGTTGCTAGGCGACGCGGTTGCTAGGGGATGCGGTCGCTAGGCGACGGCCGGGGAGGCGGCGGAGGATTTTGTAATGTTGACGTTGGTTTGGCGTGTATGTATACGTATATATATATGTATATATATATATAGGTATGTGTATATGTATAGTTATGCGTGTATATATATGTGTATGTGTATATATATATGTACGTACATGTATGTAGATGTATAGGTATGCGCATGTAAAATCCAGAAATTTCGTTTTTCCCGCGCGGGAGCGCGCCGGCGGGCGTCGCCGATCGCTCGAATTCCGGCAGCGATGGCACGTCGAGCGCCCAGTATATTATTAGGATCCAGGTGGGACACGCCTCCCTGCCCTCCCGGGGGGAGGGGGTGGGACACGCCTCCCTGCCCTCCCGGGGGGAGGGGGTGGGACACGCCTCCCTGCCCTCCCGGGGGGAGGGGGTGGGACACGCCTCCCTGCCCTCCTGGGGGGAGGGGATGGGACACGCCTCCCTGCCCTCTCGGGGGGAGGGGGTGGGACACGCCTCCCTGCCCTCTCGGGGGGAGGGGGTGGTGGGTGGTGATGGTCTGTAGGTGACGCATGGAAAAAGATTCACTAATCCTTCTACTTTTTATTCTGCATAATATTTGGTGAACACCGGAGTGGGAGGGTGAGTAGGGGGGAGGGTAACCGATGTGGGGAGGGCTGTTATTAGAGAAATAGGGGAAGGGGGGGGCCGACATTAGAGAGGAAAGGGGAAGGATGGGAGGGGGCGGACAGAGAAAGGGGGATTGAGAGATGTGAGAATGTCGGCGGGGGTGACGTGAGTAAGAAGCAGGGCTCTGAGATGAAGGAAGGGGAGGGGGAGGGCGAGGGGGAGGGATTGTTCACAGAGGGGGGGAGGAGGGGAGGGGATCTGCAGAAGTTCCGTTGTGCACTATTTCACGACTCGTCGCCCACGTAGGTGGCGCCCCCTGCGTGGTATTCCCCCCTCCCCCGCGACAAACGCCGGACCTTACATTAATTTATTCCACGGGAGGTTTGCGCCGGGGGGAGGGGGAGCGGCGGGGGAAATCGGGAACCCGAACAGAAAACGAGGTTACGTAGTCTGTCCGTATCAGCGTTACGTAGGTGTATGCGCAGGTGGGTCGGTGTGTGGGTTGGTGTGTGCGTGTGCGCGTGCGCGTGTGCCGTCTTGTACAGAATCTGTACTCTGTGTTTAAAAAATTGATTATTACGATTGACTATTCGGACGAGCCTCTGATCAAGCCGACGATGATGATGTCATCACTATGCGGCGATGATGTCATCACGAGGCATTGATGATGTCATCACGATGCGGCGATGATGTCATCACCAGACATTGATGATGTCATCATGTCATGGCGCGTCGCTCATGCGTGGCTGCCCGTGTCGGGACCGGGAAACGGCTGCTGCCCCACCCCGATGCGTTGCCCGGGCGACCGTGGTACGTGCTGCCATCTACGGGCGAAAATTGTCAGCACCCGAGACCGCTCCGGGTGACGCGGCGGTTTTGACCGAAAGTAGATGGTCGGGTGTCGGGTGGTATGTTGTATGCAAACATGCTTTAGATTATAATATATACATATTTATTCATACATATATATGCATGTGTGTGTGTGTGTGTTTATATGTATATATATTATACATTATACAATGAAATGGTTCCTGTACAGAATTAGATGGCAGCCTGCACTTGTTGACGGTGTTCGCACCAGGTGGCGCTCATAGTTAGACTGTCCCCGACTCTAGTTTTGGGAGCCTTTTATCATATGCACGCGAATCGCGTTGACTCTAGAAACGCGGCCATGCTGACGACGACAATGTGTATATTTTGCTTTCGTCTTTATTTAGTTCCTAGCAAACTCATCTAAAGCGTAGTTGTTCGTGGGAGGGGCGGGAACGCGGCGGTGGGAGAGGGGTAGGGGGTCGGGAAAACGGAGCGACGGGGGAGGAATGCGGATCCTCGCCCCCCTCCCTGACTGCGAGTGTCGTCGCCGTAGCAACCGCTGCTCCCCCAGCCTTCCCTCGCCGCGGCGCGCGGCGATGTCTCGGTCTCCCACCAGGGGGCGTGCGCGTGCTTACGTTGCTATTGGTTACGCGGGGGTATCGGCGTCGCGCCGACCCAGCTGATGACGTCACGTGACGTCACGAGTGACGCTGACGATATATATACTGTCACATGAGATACTTCATAATAAAATTGTACGCGTTAAAAGCAACTCGGTGTTTTTGTTTTCGTGTGTGAATTCTTATTTGGAAAATGTACTGAGTAATAAATAATTTTGTTTATAATAGACGTCATATAGTTACGACCCCTGACCATGCCACCCATGACTAAAAAAGAGGGAAAACAAACTAGTTTTAGCAGATGCTGTTCTGTGAATTTTGGATTAAATTTAATATTGTTTGTTATTTGTTATTATTTGTAAAGATTTGGGACAAGGAGAATATGTTGCTTAATGGTTTCTTCCATGGGTTGGAAGCTGAAGAAGATCTTTAATTTCACCAGCTCAGCAAGTACTATTAGCTAGAAATTTATAGAGAAAGGATTGCTGTCATTGAATTAGGGTGTAAAACAACTATATTTATCTAAGGTATATATGATGATTCTAAAATGCTAAAACTACTTGTCACAGATTGTGCTTGAAAAAAACATGTCCTTGAAAGGCCTTTGAAAAAATAGTACTCACTTGTGGGAACCATGTCCCCCAGGGTACTGCCGTAACGTACCCTGGTAACTATCTAGCTGATATGGTTAGGGTTAGAGTTAGAGTTAGGGTTAGTGTTAGGGTTAGGGTTAGGGAGTAGGCGTAGGCGACTCCCTAGACTTGTTAGTGGTGTAGGCGAGGTACGGTCCGGCATATTAGATGGTAGTATTTAGTACCAGGGTACGTTCCGACAGTACCCTGGGGGACATAGACCCTCTCAGCGTAAATGGCTGGTTTTCAGTCTCAACTTTTTCACCCCCCCCCCAAACCACAAAATATGATTATACGGCTATAATACGCGTTTATACAGTCGCACAAACACACATACACCCTCACTAATGGACGCGCACACGCGGGCGTGGTCGCACGCACGCGTGCGCGTGTATTATAGGCGTAAATTAACATTTTGTGCTTCGGAGAGGGAAAAAGTTTCGGCTGAAAGTCGGTTATTTTGCTGCAAAAGTTTTTCCATGCTTGACTGGTCGTGGGCGATACTATCCGCGAGAGGGGAGTAACGAAGTGAGGAAGAGGAAACGGATAGAGGCGATTATATATGTATATATATATATATATGTGTGTGTGTGTGTGTGTGTGTGCGTGCGTGTGTGCGTGCGTGCGTGCGTGCGTGCGTGCGTGAAGAGAAATATTGCGAGAGGCGCATGTTTATCTGCCGAAGAATCTGTACGAGATATTTTGTTGCGATGACAGCCAATCAAAAGAGTCCTCACAATACCTTCTCTCTCACTCTCCACTAATCCCAAGTAAGGCAGCTCAAAGTCGACATAGAGTATCGAAACCATAACATAACAGTAACATATCACTGTCAATAATCTCTCTGGAATTTCAGCTACCATATTGGTACATAGTACGCGCTACAGTTGTGAATATCTATAGTCTTCGCAAGTTCCGCTGCGCCACCACGCCGATCTGCTGATCTGTAGCAACTGGTGAGCCTGTTATATCGCTGCTAGTTGTTTGATTACAAACGATTCAGTCAGCTTGATCTCGCTTGCTGCACAGTTTCTCCTCCCTTCTCAGATCGTTCTCCTCCAATGTTCTATATTCGTTTTAGTCTTCTCTCCTTCCTCCTCGTCCTCCTCCCCTTCATTCGTCTTCTAAAACGAGAACGCTACAGGCACGAAATTGTCCTTGAAAAAAATCCAAATCAGGAAGGTGGCTGAGTGGGTGGGGTAGATTGGATGGGTCGATGGATTCCGCCGCTACATGACAACGTAATTTATTTTAAAGATTAACTGAAGTGAAAGCATCGTGGAAGATACTCAGCACCTCACCGCTGGCTTGAGTGTGACGGATTTGAATGAGGAAGCTGGCACTGAAGCAAAGCACTGACGGCCATTCGCGATGTATTTCAACAGAACGCTTAATTACTCTTTTATAATAAAAGCACATTTATCACTGAGTGGCTGTATTTAAGTAACAGTATTCATTTAGTCAGCATCGCCACCATGCGCAATGCGTTTGAGGTGTGAGTCTCTATATGTTACGCTGTAATCGTGGCGCCTTTGTAGGGGCGCTAACGGAGAATTGGAAGGAAACCTTGCACATTCCATCGAGACACCAAATATAATAGAGTACTGATGGCGAAGCAAGGCGAACTAACGATGTCACGTGTGCCATAGATCTCGGCCAGAAAAGAAGGCAGTTTTCTGTATATAAGGGGAGGCTGGTAAGCTGGTCTATATCGCTGCTTTAAGTGTTGTTGGCAACGATTCAGTCAGTTGATCTCGCCTGTTGAGCAGTGGCACAGTGATCGACCGAAGGCAAGCACTTTTGATGATGCTGCCATCCTCCTGCTCCCTCCTCCTCCCTCCTCCTGCTCTCCTGCCTCGCCTCCACTCTCTGTTCGGTTCTTTGTCTCTTTTGCCTTCATCTTCTCATTCCTTCTCCCTTCTTCTTCGCTCCTGCTTATTCTTCGCCGTTTCTATTTCTTCGCTCTCGCCTCTCCTCCCCTTTTTCGTCTTCTTAACATAGAACGGCGATGTCCTTGACAAAGACTTGGGCCATAGATCCAATGTCCAAATTTGCGAAGCTCACCCCTGTACTGCGGAATCCTGTAAATCAATGATGGCATGATGCCGTCAATAAAATGCGCACACGTAGTAATGTGTGTAAAAGTAGGAAAGTGTGAATATATATATATTTATATGTAACAGGAGGGTGGTGAGTACGTGGGTGTGTTCAGATGGATGCGGGAGGTTGATTGCGCTGTCCCACATAATAACGTAATTTTAATATTTAAAAACTAACTGAAGTATAACCAGCGAGGAGGATACAGCGAACTCGCGCGCGCTGTTGTTTAGGGAGAATGTTAAATCGAGAAACCTGTACCTTAAGGGCGGCGCCACCAGACGGCCCATTCGCGTTCTTTCCAAATAACTTTTATATAAAGCAGCATTTTATCAGCTGAGTGTATTTAATTAAATAAGCAGTATTATTTAATAGCATTACATGGTGCAAAGCGCTTTATCATTACAGCCATAAATTAATTATGTTACGCTGCAAAAAGCAGTGGCGTTGTACGGTGATAACGGAAGAAATGATGGAAAGGCCGCTGCACATTCCACGAAGAGGCGCGGAGAAAATGGTAGGCAGGCAGCGAACAAAGAGTGCACGTGTAGCGAGATGCTCGGCCGAGAACGAGGGCCAGGTTTGGACGCTCAAT